CACACACACACACACACACACACACACACACGCACGCACACACACGCTCATGTACCCACACACTATCAGAAAAATGACTTAGGTTTGGCAGCTTCTGTCCCCTCTTCTGAATAACAAACAGCTCCTAGTCTTTTTCCCTCCACAAAACCCCGAATTCCCCACCTTTCCCTCCCCTTCATCTTTCCTTCTCACTGTTCTCCCTCCCCACCCTTTTTTCTCTTTGCCCCCACTCTCCTCTTCCCTTAGCGCTCTGTGTACACCCCTTCCCTTTCTCCCAGCAGGTGGCACTATGGTCCCACAAAAGTGTCACCGCCCAGTTCTAAGGCTCTGTAATCCCCACTTTCATTAATCCTTCAGCGTGGCCGTACACTCCCCACTCCACACTCCTGATAGCGAGGTTCTGGGATAGGTCTAAACTTTTGAGTCACTCAGACCAGGTGCTCGAATTCTGGTTCTATTGCTTATTAGCTGTATGACCCTGGGAGCAATTTAAAACAAGAAAAAAAAATGTTTTAAATAATTTTTATAAGTTTAATTGAGCCAAACTGATGACACATGTCCAGGAGCAAGATCTCAAATGCTCCCCCGGGAGCATTTTTTAGACTCGGTTTTAAGTCTCTGTTTCCTGGTCTGTATAAGAATAGTTAAAGGGCTTTAAAGGGAGATTTTTCTCCCCATTCTGGGACATAAGGGAATGACCCACAGAGTAAGAAAGTCAGAATGGGGACAGTCACAGCCAGAGGGGTTATGGCATGGACAAAGTGGATTTTTAAATTTCTAAATTTGTTTTGTTTTTATAATGGGAAGAGGCAGCTGAGGAGACAGGAAAGAAGAGGGAGGCTGATAACACAATATTTATACAGATCATGTTTTAAATGCATTTACACATATAGTAGACTTATTTTTCCGTCTTCACAACAATCCTACAAGATAGATTCTCTTTTTATCCCCTTTTTAAATATGGGGAAACAGGGCTGGCCGAGTGGCTCAGTTGGTTAAGAGCTCCCGCAAGAGTGCGAGCTCTGAGCAACAGGGTCGCCGGTTCAATTCACGGCCCGAGCTGAGCTTCCGCTGAGCTGCCAACAGGTGGCAGGATGGCTCAGCTAAAAAAATAATAAAATAAAATAAAATAAATAAATATGGGGAAACAGAGGCACAGAAAGGTTAAGTTCTTGCCATGATTACACAGCTTGTAAGTGGCAGGACCAGGATTCACCCCAGTCCGTCTGATGCCAAAGTCTACGTCTTAACCACCAAGCAGGCTTCTACCTTGATGGAATCTCTAAGAAGGCAGGAGGGGCTGGCTTCCAGAAAGAGCAGGGAAGGAGGTTTGGTCTGGGACTCGAGTAAGAAGATGGACAAGGGCAGGTGAGCTTAAAGGGATAGTGGCTAGAGTTGATGGGGCAAGTTCATTTTCTAAGACAGGATGGCGAGAGTAGAAACTGGAAGGGCAGGAGGTGTGGTGCCTTTGAGCTTGAGGGCCCCACAGTCTCCTAGCTGGCTTTTGCAGGAAGAGAGAAAACTGGGACTGGGAAGGCGGGCAGAGCTAGAGGGAAACGGAGAGGGGGCTGAGGTGTAGAGGGAGAAGGGCAAGTCCAAACTTCCACAAGAACTCAGTGCCAGGCCTGGCAGAGCCATTGATGTTCCTGTCTCCTACAAGAAAGGAGATAAACCCAGGGTTGGAACGTCTGACATCCCCTGGGGATCTAGCTGTTTCTCCACCTGCACTGATTGTCTACATGGCTTTCTCTTTCATCTCAAGAACTGGAACCAGATCACATTCATCTGCGTCCCCAGTTTCCAGTACATATGAAGTTGTTAGTGAACATTTGCTGAATGAATGAATGAATGAATGAATGAGTGAATGAATGAATGCAGAATAGCTCGAGTTAAATGTCTTGGATTTGGACCTTGGCCATCATAGATTCGAACCCCTGCTTGTCTCTGTGTGACTTCACTCAAGCCTCAATTTCCTTATACAGTCAATCCTTGTTATCACAGATTACATATTTGTGGATTTACCTACTCACTAAAATTTATTTGTAACTCCAAACCAATATTCATGGAACTTCTGCAGTTATTCACGGAAATGTGCAGAGCTGCAAAAAAATTTGAGTTGCCCAACTTGCATGTTCTCAGCTGAGGTTGAACAAGAGGACATGCTGCCTTCTATTTTGGCTCTTATAATGTAAACAAGTGTTCTTTTTGTGGTCTATTTAGTGTCATATTTTTTGCAGTTTGGGGCTTTTTGTTGATGATTTTGCTGTTTTAAATGGCCCCCAATGTAATGCTGAGGTGCTATCTAATGTTGCTAAGCACAAGAAGGCTGTGCTGTGCCTTACAGAAGAAATACATGTGTTATGTAAATGTCATGCAGGTACAAGTTATAGTGCTATTGGCTGTGAGTTCAATGTTAATGACTCGACAATATATTTTAAATTAGGTGTCTTTAGACAGAAAAATACATCAAACTAGATGATGTGCTGATTGATCAGGTGATGAAAATGTTATGACCAGGGGCGGCTGGTTAGCTCAGTTGGTTAGAGCACAGGCTCATAACACCAAGGTTGCCGGTTCGATCCCCACATGGACCACTGAGTTGTGCCCTCCACAACTAGATTGAAATAACTACTTGACTTGGAGCTGATGGGTCCTGGAAAAACACACTGCTCCCCAATTAAAAAAGAAAAAAAAGAAGTTACCAGCTATGCCACTGTCTGATATTTGACCTTCAGAAATTGTGTGAGATAATAAATGTTTGTAAAAAAAAAAAATGTTACGACCAGAGGCTGGTAGGAATCTAACCCTGTATTTCTCCTAGGAACATTGGCTCAATATTTGCTAAGTCAGTGTTTGTAGTGGTGGTTTTATTAGAACATAACTATCATCAATAACAAGAATTGACTGTGTATATGAAATAGGAATAGTGATGAAATCTCCTTGTAGGGTTGTTGTGGGATTAAATGAGATAATGTTTGTAAGGTACTCAGCACCACTTTTGGCACATAGCAAGTGCTCAATAAAAATTGTTACTATTATTAATGTGGAGAAGTAAGAAAGTGAAGGAGTGATTTTCCTCTATGCAGAGTTCCTTTTCCCAAGGGGCCTAGCTGAGGTTTTCTGACTCTTGCTGGACTGACTCAAGGAGAGAACTGTGAAACAGACAGCCTGACCTATGGGGAGGGGCTGGGAACCAGGACCTGTAATAAAGAGCCCCACCCATACACAGACTGCATGTCACAAAGGCCTTAGCCGCTCTGGCCAGCAGCACCCACAGGGACACTGCAGAAGCTCTCTGTGCCATGGGGCCTTCTCATCTTCTCCGTGCTTCTCGGCCCCGAGGCTTAAGTTCCCCCTACCGCAGGCCAGGTATGGGCTGGCCTCGGCCCAGGTTTCCCAAGATGTTCAAGAGCAGCCGCCGAAGGTACCGGCAGAAACCCCAAGGCCCGACTGCCACCACTGCCGCCAACAATCTTGACACCATGGCCAGGGATATCAACAACACCGACACTGTCACCGCCAGTGTGTGGATCCTTCCACCACAAGGTTAGCCAAGGGCCCTGAGTTTTGGGGGTTGGAAAAACAGAGCCACTGAAGTTTTCCCCACCTTAGCCCTGCATCGGCCCTGTAGGGGACACACACTCTGTGAAATATCACCATCCTAACGGTATGGGAGGGTCTTGATGGCAGGCATCCTAAAGGCTGAGGGCCTTAATGGAGGATGTATTGCCTGGGAGTGGAGGGCTTGGGGAAGAGGGCGACTCTAAGAGCAGTGGAGCCTCCAGGATGGCTGCCTTCCTCATACTCTTCCCTTTCCTTCTTCTCCTCAGTTTTCAGACGCTTCTGTCAACCTGGCAGCTTTCTGATCCTCTAGAAATGCCCAGAAACTAGTCCAGAAGCTTGGCTGGCTCCAGACCTGTATCTCCTAGGGGCCATGGGTGGTGAAAAGCAGCCAAGTACAATCATTTCTGCTCCAACTGCCTATTCCACTCTGAAGTGTTTCCAGCTGACTCTGCAGGGTATGAGGGCAGGGACAGGCTTCAGTGACAGCAGCAGCGATCACAATTAGACAGTGGAAGGACAGGACAAGGTCAGCAACACACACCATCTCCCCATCTTTGGCTTCAGCTCTTGATCTACCCTATGAGGTAGGGGGCCTTCCTGCCTTGTACTCCCATCTGCACAGAGAAAAGGATCCCCATAGACATCTTGGAACGTATAGGGAGCCAGGTCCTTGAGGAAGGAGGTAGAGGCACACATCAGAAGAGGATAAGATAAAAGACAGATTTCACTGCTTGAGTGTAACCCCGTGAGTGGAGTGTGGTGTATGTGGCTCTGTGTCCCTGGGATGGTC